CTCCGCATGGCGCGCTGGCTCGGCGTCCGGGTCCCGCCGCTCCTTCCCGGCCGCGTGCAGCCGAGCGGCCTCCAGCTTTAAGGGCGGGGCCCGCGGGGCCACCACCGGGGCCTCCGCCCACGCCGCGAGGGCGCTGCCCGGCCACTGTCCCCAGGGACCCAGCGTGCTCCGCTAAGGACCGGTCCCTCGGCTCGCCATCGCCGACCACCGCCCAGAGGTCCGCCCAAGAAAACACGCGACCAGGTTCATATCCACACGGTTTTATTACAAAACAAGCAACAAGACAGGTTTTGAAAATTACGATTTGCTGCATACCAACTAGGAGACACACAAAACAAGCTAAAGTTTCGGGGCACTCGGCGCCGGGACGCGCAGGCGCAAAGTGCGTGTGCCACCTTCCCGGGCAGAGCGACGCCACACCGTGTGCCAGACGTTCGCTCTATTCAAACTGCCCGGTGGGAGTGACTAATCGACTCACACAAAGAGAAATAATAAAGTTAAACAAAGTGCACATGGGAAAACCAATTTCCAAAATGCTGTCACGGCCACCAGACGACTAGTTGGTGAACACTGAAGGGAAGCTTATCAAGTCTCACTGTTCAACTACTGATATGCGATGTATTCAGTCATTTTGGGCCTTACAAGAGCACGTTTGTATTCTGAAAGGAGGCAAAACCAGCTACTGCCTCCAATAAGTGAAGAAGCTGGACTTTAAATCTCTCCAGGAGCTCAGCACTCTACTTGGAAGGACAGGTGTGACTGAACTGCCAGGGCCTAAGGTTACTCTCCAGGGTATTGACTTCTATCTCCTCACAGAAAGAGAAAGATGGACTATTTCCTGACTTTGAATAAGCAAGTCCATCAAAGCTCTCAAGGGCAGGGGAGGGTGAGCCCTTTGGCTATAGAGAAAACTACCCCAAATCCTATCACACACAGAGGGTCAAGACTACCTCAGAAGCCTCAAAGAAGAGGCCAACCCAGAGAAAGCCTTTATTCCACAGAGAAAACAGTACCTTTTGTAATTCAGAAAACCCTTCTCAGGGATGCCCCAGCCTAGGCACTTAACCTACAAGGCACCACCAGTCTTATTTTCTCCATGGGGTTCCATTTTACACATTGAAGACTAAATGTGTCAGTCATTCATGCACCATCTTTGGCTCATGATAAAAGGATGTGATAGACACAGCCGGGTGGTGCACACCTTTAGTCCCAGCTAAACCAAGAGGATCTCTCAGATTGAGGCCAAGCCTGGTCTACAGAGCAAATTCCAAGCCAGCTGGGGTTACAGGGAGACTATGTCTCAAAACACAAATAATGTGACAGAATGTAGTGGCAGCTGCTTGTAATCCCAACACTCGGGAGACAGGCAGGAGGATTACCAGTTCAAGGCCAGCCTGGGCTACACAGCAAGATACAAACAAAAAGGCCAGAATAAAATTGGCCAGAACGTAGGAAATATGAATAGAAAGGGAACACTGAAATAAAATCTGAAAAATCTGAACGCTGCTAGACCTCATGAAAGATAATTTATTCCTCAAACACTGAAACTATATTAACAGTGTTCTAATTTGAAATTCCCAAGTATTTGCCAGTTAGAGTCAATGAAAGAAAATCTTTGCTTTCCCTTTATCACCATAAAGTGGATTATGTTTAATCCAGCACATTCTCAAAACCGAACCTACTGAATAAGAAACCTATCAACTTACTATAGCAACCAGTCAACTCAGTTTATAAGACAGCTGGACACATCTCGCAGTTTGAACACCAGAAGATGACAACATTTCCATGAGTCAGGGAACATTTAAAACCTGTTCAGGGGTTCCTAATTTATTTTTATTAGTTCCCCATCTCACTTTGAGCAATTCTGTTGACTAAAGAATTTTCATGAGAAAAATCTGAAGTTGAAACCAGAGACAAAGGCTTTAAGAATTTGGATTTGTTGAGCCAGCACTCCAGAGGCAGATCTCTGTGAGCTGGAGGCCAGACCACATAGTGAGTTCCAGGTTAGCCATGGCTACATAGAGGGGGAAAAAATTAAAAAAAAAAAGAATTTGGACTGGCTTCTTAAAGTCATATTATTTGAAACAGGGTTGTAACCTGTGTCACTTGTAAATTAATAATTCCCAAGCCAAAAAGTTCCAAGTACTAAAGTACACAAGAGTTTTCATTTTTTAAGGGGACAGAAAGATGGGGGTGGGAGAGAGGCAGAGACAGATAGAGGCAGACAGACAGAGAAAGGCCCAGTGAACTTCAGTTTTTAGACCAGGACCACAGGCCAAGCTGAAGAGGAGGACAGCTCCAAGGCAGTGTGGCCAGGAGTCCTTGATTTCACAGGGGCATTTGCAATGTCCCCCAGAAAGAACACACTTCATCTCTGGCCACCACAGAGCATCACAGGTCTGTTGGCTTGTGTATTAGCTACAGACACAAAGAGTGGTGGTTCATGTAAATAAAAATGCCTCCTAGTCCCTTCTGATAGCCACAGATTTCTAATTAAAAATATAATTAACTGATCTGCTGCTAAAAGTTACTGCAAGCAGTAAGCCACATCCTCTCTCCTTTTAGGAAGCTGATTTTGGTGGTAGTTCACAGAAGCCATACAGATGAAAAGCCAGGAAGGGCACTGGAAATAGTATCTTGCCCAATGGAAGAAACTACATCCTAAAATTGGGTGAGAAACTCAATCTTCTGGGCTCTTCTGAAACCTAGGAAATCCCTAGCCAACAGCTTTGAGTCTCTGATTCAATTTCTTTATACCCAATTTTCATTCTATCTTTAAAAAATCATCTTTGTATCTTCCCACTGATAAGCACATAGCATCGTATCTGACTTGGGGTTTGAGTTACAAGAACACGCACATGGCTCCATTCAAACACCAACACAAAGGATAAAAAGCAAATCAGCCAGGGTGCAGATGCACTGCCCTTAACAATTAGACAAACAAAACAGCTGTAAGATTGGATTTGCCAAAACAGAGCCTTTCTTCAGGCTAGAAAACATGGACCAAAGAAGCTTAGTGGGGATAAACTATCACCCATCTCTTCTCAGCCCCTGCCTCTCAGAGACTCTCTCTCTATCTCTCTCTCTCTCTCTCTCTCTCTCTCACACACACACACACACACACATACATGAATCATTGTACACACACCATCCCCACACACTCAAATAACGTGGTTTCGAGGGAAATGTCTGACTGGTCTCCACTGTCCTAACATTTAACTTTGATAACCCCATCCTCAGAGCCTGACACAAAAACTGAACTAGTGGATCTGTCACTGACATCTACAGCATTTGGGGTCCCAAAGAATCAAAAGGCCAGAGTAATTCCCACAAGTGGCTATGGCTGTGGCAGCTGAATTATCCTTCATGAGTCATAAGAGATCCTGTCTCTTCCCCTAGGGGCGCTCCTGGGGGAGCTACCTTGGTAGACATTGTGAGGTTCAACGTCCACCTCCCCTAGATTCTAACACTACCTCTCAGAATGGATCCTGGAACCTAGGTCTCCTGTACCCTGATGCCTTTCAGTTGGGTTGACAACCAACGGCCTGTACCCCAGACTTCAGCCAGTAAATAGGGGGCAAATGAAACCGGCTCTGGGTCTGAGAGTGTGTATGCAGACTGAAAACAAAACCAAGAAAAGAAAAACACAAGGAAATTATACAGCGGCTTAAAACTAATTCTTCACCAGAAGACCCTGGGAGCATTCAAGGGACAGTGGAGCACACCTGTGGGTCTAACCTATCGACTTTCTCAAATTACATACACTGCATCAATAATACCAAAATCCAAAGCCAGCTGGATGGGCCATACCCACTGTGAGTGCCATTGGCCTCTGTCCACCAAGGCTGAGACTCTGAGGCATGGTCCCTTCCTCCTGCCTGCCATGACACTGTCCATCACACATCAGAGGTCCGGATGTTTTCATCATCAAGGTTGAACACAAATGGCTTCTCCTTGGGGTGTTGGGGCTCCGATCTGTGCCGCACACGGGAACTCGCCAGCACCCCTGTGGCATTGCCCCCCCCAGGCATGAACAAAGAGTCCTGTGGAGCCTCCTCTGCTGGAAGCAGCTTTTCCCCCGCCTGGGGGACAGGTGTCCAGGGCTGCCAGGAGGAGGCCACAGAAGGGGCCTTGCACAGGGCTTTCTTTTCTTCCACTGGTGGCTGCCTCCTGGACAAGACAGAGTTAGGCCCACTTGCAAGGCTGGAGCTTCCAGGTCGAGTCAAAGAAATGGATCTAGAAAAGGATGCTTCCTAAAAACAAGAAGAAAAACACAAGGGTCTTTCCTCGAAGTGTTTACCCTGGAGTCCCTAGAGGAGTACACCCCGTATCACCACCTCCCACTCCAGGGACACTCAGCTACCAAAATGAAGAAGGTGCAAAGAGGCACTGCATCTGCAGCTCCAGCTCCTCAGGAGACTTAAGTCAGGAGTTCAGGGCTAGCCTGGGCAATGCAGCAAGACCCCCCCCATTTCAAAAATAACTGTACACAAGTAAATAAAAATAAACACCCAGCAGCATTCACGGCACATCTGCCTAGGACTGAGACTTGGAGGGTACACCAGAAACTTCGTATCTCTGTCCAACCTAACCTCATGTCTTCCAGAAAACCAGAAAGAGGAAAAAAAAAAAATTGTACCCAAGTTAATAAAAGGAGAAAAACAAGTGAGCCAGCCGGGCCGCCTGCCTACATAACCAAATGAAACACACCCATTCAAGTTGACACAGGCACTGAGAGGAAGTGACTTACTCTGGGGTGGCACTTGAGGGCCTGGACAGCTGCCCCAATCTCCTTAATCCAGCTGTGCATGTCTTCAGGGCTGTCTGCCTGCAAAACATCCACAGCACTTACACAAATTTTTGGCATGTGACTTCAGCTCCTAAGTCTCTGGCTCAACTCTGAGTTCATAAAATCACACCATTCGAGTTGGGAGGGACCTTGGAAACCATCTAGTCCAGAGACTTGCAGACATCTGAGACATTTTCCCCTGCAATATCTCACTTGACACCCAGTAAGTAAAACTGCTCAAATAGGAGTTGGCCTGAAGAGGGAGAGGAGTTGGGCAGGGAGGGCCTAGTGCCCTGTCCGCTGCTGAAGGTCATCGGCCCCTCTGAAGAACAGCAGAGACTCCCTAGTTTCCTAGATTTACCCAAAAGGAACATGAGGCACCAAAGGCCAAATCTCGAGGTTTATGTCTGGTCTAGATTCCAGCTTCCTATTCCCCACAGAGTCATCCCTCCACTAACCATCTGACCAGAAGACTCCAACTTTAAATTCCATTAAAGCAACTCCCTCCACAAACCCTCCAAGGTGTATATGACTGTGTGTCTTGTCAACAGAAACGGCTTGGGCCTTTCTCAAAGCACAAGCTACGTGGAGCTATCCTGAAAATTCACCCAGTCTCAGAATTAGAGCTAAGCCCAAGAACTTGGAAGGCAGTGCTGAGTGAAGTACTTCCCCTAAAACCAACCTCTTCGCCCCAGAAGGGGGCAGCAGCTGCTCTATTTAAAAAAGAAGGCGTGGTCCTGCAGGCGTTTTGGAGTGCCTCCCAGCTGAAGGAAGGAGCTCAAAGATGGTTTACAGGGGACCCTAAGCAGGGTTACACAGGGTGGCAGTGGCAGTCACAAAGTTGAGAACAGCACTGAGTCCCTCTGTCTCCAGCACCAAAACTCAGTGCTTGTGTGTGTGTGCGCCTGTGCAGACAAGTGTGCAACACCACACTCCGCCCCGAAGTCCTCCTAGACGCCCTCTTCCTGTTCAGGACCACTTTGTCTCTGTGGGGCTTTTGTTTGTTGTTTTCTGTCAAACTTGCATTGCTCTCCCTCCTGCCGTCCCCAAGCATAGCACAGCCTCCTTGCTTAGCTGCCTGCAGCTCACACCAAGAGGCACCAGGTCAGGAGTGTGTCAAAGGCCTGCAGGGCCTGCACTTTTACTTATTCTCCACTTGATTCCACTTATCTGACAATCTGAAAGTTTCCCAAGGAAAAGATACATCCATCCCCCGTCCAAAAGGATAACCAGGGTTAGGTCTCCAAACTTTTACCAAGACCAGAGGTGGCCTGTTCCCTAGGGAGACCTATGAGGAAGATTAAATGAGTTGTTAGGTAAAGCTGTTTGAACAGGACCGGGTTACATGGGGGTCTGCCGGGCCCTGGGGGCAAAAAAAAAAAAAAAAAAATTTTAAAAAAAAAAAAAAAAAAAAAAAAAAAAAAAGACCATTTTTACCATTATATAGTAGGAGGGAAGCAAATTAAACCTTAACTTTTACCATCATGGATTTATTCGCCGTCCTCTTCCTGCACTGCCTTTCATCATATAAACTTAGCCTGAAGGGTCACAGGCTGGGCTGGAGCTCAGCGGCAGAGCATTTGCCTAGCAAGTGGCTTTTGCACTCAGTCCCAAAACAAAGAGTATCTCAAAGCACCAAGTTGTCAGGATCAAATGGGGAAACATTTGTAGGGAAAAGTTTACTATGAATTTGAAAGAAGCAGATATTACAATTGATCACACACGAAAAGAAAGAGTATTATTTTATAGAACCTATTAGTTCTGACCACTGTTTTAAAATTTTATTTAAAAGCTATTTTTAGGGGGCTGGAGAGATGGTCCAGTGGGTAAGAGCACTTGTTGTACAAGCAAGAGAGCCTGAGTCTGAGTCCACGGAACCCATGTGAATGTAGAGCATGGCTGCACACGCCTGTAACCCCGTCCTGGGGGCAGACAGGCCAGTCCTGGGGCACACTGACCCGCCAGCCTAGCAGAAATGATAAGCTCCAGGTTCAATGAGCGGCCCTTCTCAAAAATAAGGTGGGGAGCAACACAGAAAGGCACAGCGGCCTCCTCCGGCCTCTGCGAGCACGACTGACTGACAGAGGGACCGTTACTTCGACTTTATCTCAAAAAGGAACAAAATGAGCAAGAGATGCCAAGGAAACGTTTCGTTTACCAATAATCAATTTTGAGCTTCAGAGAAAAACAGAACTTCGGAAAACTCATCTCTAACTCCATGAGCTCAACACCTTTCCATATTTAATGACTCAACTAATGATATTAGTGGTGATATAATGAGTGTGACATTTTAAATATCCCACAATGAAATGTGTCAACATTTCAAGGCTCTGCACAGCTTGAGGAAAGTAGTACTTTCAGAACAACGAATAAAAACTCTGGGTGAAGAGTATCTATCCAGATGGCGACTGGTGGATCTTAGCAGAAGCATATGAAAATTTATTGATAAGGCCTGAGACTCCACCTTGCACCAAAACGTTAAGAAATCACCACTTCTCAAGTTCTGGTAAGAAACAGAGAAGAATACTGTCAATCACCTAAAGAGGATGTCAAAATAGTGCTTTTTTCCGAATACGTATTTGTGCAAGGCCAGATTTTCAAGTTCTTCAATGAAAGTAACACACGGCTACAGACAGAATTCCAAAGTGGCTGCAGGAATTCTACGGCCTTCTTCTAAGTCACTGAAGAGATTGCAGAAATAAAAAATAACACTACTCTGCTAGTTTTGGAAGTATATTTATTTTCATAAGCTATTTTGTTAGCATATCAAGAGTTTATAGCTGCTGCCTCTAGATGAATAAATAAATATGTTTAATGATTTTTTTCACCTCTTTTTTTTTTTTTTGAGTCAGGTGCTGCACAGATCTGACCATCGTTCTCTGCTTCCTGGTTGTGACTGAAATTTGCTGTCCCTTCCCTGTAGGCTGGGCCCCAGCCCTCTGGAAGCACAAGCCAAAATAAAGCTTTCTTTCTTAAGCTGCTTTTAGCCATGGTATTTTATCACAGCAACAGGAAAGTACCCAACCCGCTAACCCTGTCTTCCCTCACACCTGCTTGCCTTGGGGTGATGGGTGTCATCAGCCAATAAGAAGTTCAGTCAAACTTCTAGGCTAATCCTTGTCTCTCCCTTCACACAACTAACCCTCAAGTCCTCATGTCCTGGTCAACCTCTTCGGTATCTCTCAAATGGTCCACTTTCCCTCATCCATCTAAATTCAACCTTCCTTTATCCATCACCTAAATCCTCATCACAGCCTCCAACCTGGCCTCTCTAGTCCAGCCCTGCCCTTTTCCCATCTGTCCCCCACAGTGACCAAGGCCAGCTGTCTCCGGGGTCATTAGGGTTGGAGTTGAGTTTTTCATCTCCATTTTATAAATATGGAAAAGAAAACTCTGAAAATTAAGTAAGTTGCCAAATACAGACAAATCTCTTACAGGCAAATCTGAGCAAGCTGTTGCTCTCGCTGAACCTCTGACTCTAGGGACCAAGTACACACACATTTGTTAACAAGGCAGCCAGGGTGATGTGGCTCTCTGGCCCTCGATGCACAGACTCCCTCATTGCTCTCCACTCCCTCCTCCCAGGCTCTTGCCATGGTGCTCTTGACTGGCGCTCTCTTCCCTTGACCCTTCTAGGCACCATCTCCTTCCAGACAATTTCCCCACCTCCCTTTCTCAAGGGGACCATGGCAGATGGTCCCACTCTAATGATTCCAGTGATCACTGTTTTTCTGGGGCTTTGCTTTGGTTTTGTTTTGTTGTTTTTTATCCCATAGTCCCCTTTGGGGAGCTTGTTTCATGCTGGTAAATGTATTGGATCCTTCCTTTCTGTATCTCATGCAGGAATCTCCTAACTTCCTAGATCTTAGTTCAATCTGTACATGCTAAGGGTTAGTCTCCGTGCAGCTCTGGGTCATTCCTCCACCTGCACAGTATCACACAGCACAATGCAGGGCAGCCCTGGCAAACTTCCCCATGCCTCCCTACTCCACTCCCTCCCCACCCCAGCATGTGCTTGCTATTAACTACCAATTACTGAGCTAAAACTTTGTCTTAGCTTCAAGATCAGTTCTGTCTAAGTCAGTGTTCCCGGCCCAGACCATGCCAGACCCCCACCGTACTCCATAAATATCAAGATCAGTTCCATCTAAGTCGGTGTTCCCAGCCCAGACCCTGACTGTACTCCCTAAATATCTACTGCTTAACTAGAAACTGGTACAAATACAGCTCCTTCCTTGTACCCGAGTGGCAAAGGCACTGGATGGCTAAATAACTAGAAGGGCACAGAGACCCTCTCCACAGTCCCACCTGCTCCTAAGTGTCCCCTCTGCCAGCTCTTCTTAGCATGCTTGTCCCAGTGAGTGTGGTCTGAAGATGCCCAAGTCTGCCAGCATGCCTGCTAGACTCAAGTGGGAAAACAATGCAGACACAAGACCTGTTGCCCAAGAATCGAGAGAGAGCTCTCATCCCTTTGTGGAAGGGAGGGCATTCAGTGGGGAAAAGAGAAGAAAAGGAGGTAGGAAGCCTCAAAAATTCCACTTGGTAGGGCTGCATCTAAGCCAGCATCTCCACACCACATTTAGGGCTAGGAATCCTGCAACAGCACCATACTGGGGATCAGTGTTCTTGGGCTCCTGGAGAGCCCGGGCTGAGAACTTAGCCTGGATGTTTAGGTCCTGCTTGGAAACCTGCCTGGTTAACTGTGTGAGTTCATAACAGGTTGTGGGCCCCAGAACAGGCACAAGGGGAGCTATCCCTGTGCAGCTGGCTCTGCACCTGAGCCCACACAAGCCTCTGTGCTTCTGTCTTTCTGCACACAGTGATGTCCATACACAGGCAGGAATTATAAATACCCTCCAGAGAGAAGTGAAATCACCCCACAGTTCTCCTTTCTCTGCTTGGATGGAGCCCAGCAGCTGGGTGCAACTGCTACGGGCACATGTTCTCCAGCACAGCAGCTTGACCTGCTTGAGTTATTCTATGGTGGGGAAGCTTCTAGTAGGCATCCTACTTAGGATGAACTGGGAGACTGACTGACTGGAGTTTCTAAATTTACCATTGAGAAACTTCAAACAAAAGACAAGAGAAAATATTGGTCTCGGGATGAGCATATTACCTGTATGTAGAATGTCCTGGAGCTGGTTATGATTTCAAACAGGTTGTCCCTCATTAAGAGATCACTAGGCAGAGAAAAAGGAAAAATGTTACCAGGCATTGTGAGTGTTCCTCCAGTCTTCAAATTATTGAGTGAGGCAACTCAAGACTCTCTCCATTCCACAGCTAAGGAAACCCAGTCTGAGAATTTCAGTGATATCTCTGTCCAAGGTGTGAAAGCTCAAACCCAGGTTGGATTACAGAGTCCACATCACCTGCTTCTTCTAAGGGAGCTAGCGCTCTATCCCTAAACCCGGCTTCCCCAGGCAGCACCTCCCTCCACAGCTCTGAGCTCTTGGCCTCAGGGCACTGGCACAGAAACTACAGGGGAACAAAGATAAGTGAGTGACTCTAAGATCTGCTTCTGGGGAAACTCCAACGGCCAGTAAATGTTTTTAAAGTGTTCAACAAGCTTAACCATCAGGGAAATGCAAATTAAAAATACTTTGAGGGTTAGAGAGATGGCTCAGTGGTTAAGAATTCTTGCAGAAGATCCAGGTTTGAATCCCAACACCCACAGAGCAGCTAGCAATCATCCATAACTTCAGTTCCGGGGACTCAGACACCCTCTTCTGGTCTGTGGGCATTGCATGACAGGTGTACTTACATACATGCAGACATAACACTCATACAGATTTTTTTTTAAAGTACTTTGAGATCCATCTCATCCTAGTCAGAATAACCCACACTAAGAAGGCAACACATGCCGGCAAAGATGTGGGAAAAGGAGCCCAGGGTTGCTAGTGGTAGGAGCATAAACTAATGCAGCCACTATGGAAATCAGTCTGGAAGTTCCTCAGTAAACTACAAATAAAACTGCCACATGATCCATTTCTACTGGTTCTGGGCATACCCAAAGGACCGTGTATCTGGCCACCAAGATATTTACATGCCCATGTTTTTTCCTGTACTATTCAAAATAGCAAGAAGCTAGAATTGGCCTCAATGTTCTCCAACAGATGGAGAGATAGGAAAATGGTACATAGACATGATGGAATTTTATTTGATTGTAAAGAAAAATAAAGTCATGAAACTTGCAGAAAAATAGATGGAACTGGAAATAATTATTGTATTAAGCAAAGTAGCCCAGACTTAGAAAGACTAAACCCATGTGTCTTCTGTCACACGCAGATCCTAGACTTTAATTTAAACACACATACACACCCACACACACACACACACACACACACACACACACACGCACGCACGCACGCACGCAGGCATGCACGCACGCACGAGGAGGGTAATCAGTCATGAAACTAGAAAGGGGACCAATTCAAACACACATACACACACACACACACACACACACACACACACACACGCACGCACGCACGCAGGCATGCACGCACGCACGAGGAGGGTAATCAGTCATGAAACTAGAAAGGGGACCAGGAAGCCAGGCAAGATGGCTCAGTGGCTGAAGGTTCTTGTCACAGGCCACCAAGACCAACAACCTGAGTTGGATCCCCAGGACCCCCAAGATAGAAAGATGCATTTCCTACAAGCTGTCTTCTTACATCCACAGCACAATTTTAAGAATAGTTTGCTTTCACTGAGAAAAAAGATCTGCTTCTGGGGTCTGAGTGTAGCCCATGGTGGACCGCTCAGCACCAAAACCAAACAGACAAGCTTCACACTGGGTGTGGACTCTTTCAAGGGAGAGGACAAGAAGCCACTGATCTGGAGACAAATCTGAATCTGAAACCATGATTAGTGCCTGTTGTGTGCGTCCAGTCACTGTAGGAACGGTAGGAGGGACTCCTAACTGCTACCAGGAAGAGCACCCAGGAGACAAGGCTAGCAATCAGATGCTGGCAAGACTGTACTCCATGCCAACAGACTTGTTCCAAGGAAGGGCTGATCACAGGCAGGAAAGTCTTCCTGAAGACAGACGCCGCATGGCCAGTGGCTCACACTGCAGGCAGACAAGGGACTAGTGGGGCACAGATCTGGCACAAACTCCACAAAGGTATTTGGGTCACGTTATAGATGCCAGTCTTTGCAGCCCTATGTGTAGAGTGGGAATGAGAAGACCTTTGCTGCTGGTCCATGAAAGGCAGCAGAGGGCGCCCAGCATAACGTACAGCGCTGGACGCATATTCCACCAAATGCTGGTGCTGCTTTCCAGTTTCTTAATGGCTCTACTCTGGTTAAACGTTCTAGTTTTTCTTTTCATGAGTGTTTTATTTGCATATTATATGTGTACAACGTGCATATAATGCCTGTGGAGGCCAGAAGAGGGCACTGGATCCCTGGAACAGGAGTTAAGGACCAGCAACCATTTGAGTGCTGGGAATTGAACCCGGATCCTCTGCAAGAGCAGCCAGTGCTGGGCCATCTCTCCAGCGCTGGCTAAATGTTTAATCTAAATGATTCTTGCATATGCAGTGCAATCCGATGGTCCACCACTGAGGAGGTGAAACAAAGCAGGTAGGAAGTCCCTCCCCTTTCACATCCACTGCCCAGGCAGCATGCTGCCTTGCTATGCAATTCCACTAAACAGCAGTCATTGATGACCAGAGGTCCTGAGGTCTGATAGTCCAGAGAGGCCAACACCATTAACACAGGCGAAGCCACCAAGCCACTTCCTTCCCTGTGGGTTCCAACTCCCTGACTTAAGTTCAGTGTGACTCTGACAGAGTTAGACTTAGGATAAAATTAAACCCTGCCCTGGCTCTCCAAGTTTCCCAGGATACCCAGGTGGCCTCCAATCTGCACAGTTCCTCTAGGTCAGAAACAATTAAGGATCTCCAATGACCCAGTCATGTCGAGTTCTGCCCCCTGCCTCCCTCTGGAGCCTCACTTGGGGATTATCTATCTATAGCTACTTTTATGAATTCCAAGTTGTCACCGGGAGCCTCTCCAGTCTTCTGTACCCTGAAACTGCATTAGCAAGACTCAGTACAGCATTTCCTTCCTGCTTCCTTGGGTCACACAGCATGTTGTGTTCATGTAGAGCTGTCCCATGCCTTCACAGGAGAGCAGGATTCCTGATGCTGAGTGCTCCCTTGAGGATTTACACGGGCTCCACATGCACGGTCTACAGGGACAAAGGACACAGTCTAGACAGACTTCACAGATAGCTGAAAAGATGTCCTTGAGGTCTGTAAGGTTCAGTTCCAGGAGCATCTATACTTGGGGCTGGGTACAGGATGTTCCCTTGCCTGTCCTGAACTCATCCTATTACCAGGGCACCTAAAACGTCACTGTTTCCTAGTGGAAAGAGAAACGTATTAAAAATACATGCTCTGCCAGCCAAACAGGTAGCAGTGTTGGGATGCCGTGAATCCCCCTGTGTTAAAATGACATCAAGGACAAAAGGAGAAAAGGCCTGGGAAGCTCAGGCAAGAGGCATTGGCACACACAGGGGCGTGACAGGAAGTGACCCCAGTGACCTAAAGTGACCTCAGTGTCCCCCATCTGAGCCTGTCCTCCCAGAGACAAAGTGTCTAATTTCAACAGCTGAGAAGCACCTGAGCTCCACTCTCTCCTTCCTTAGCATATAATTCCCTTTCCTCCATCAGAAGTTACTGTATAGGCTCATCTCTTTTGGATCCAGAGTAGGGAAATGGGAAGAGGGCAGCTTGCCCAGTATGATCCCAACTGTGCATCAGCGTGAACACAGTGAGTCTCCACAGAGGTTACTGCCTCCAATCGTGCATCAGTGTGAACACAGTGAGTCTCCACAGAGGTTACCGCCTCCTTGCTCTAGAAGGAAGACTCTTAAAAGGGGTCTCGGAAAGGCAGTGAGTGAGAAGAGGAGGACAGGGGCTCTGAGCAGAGAATGAGACAATTACCCAGACTTGACCAGGCACTCATGTGTCTTGAGAACATCCTTGAGAAGTATGGTACGCAGAGGTTCTCTGTCCTGGTGGGAAGAATGGAGCAATGGGTGAGTGAGGCTATTCATACTACCCAATGATCCCGGACCAGCTCACCAATGCCCCTTTCTTACAGAGTCTTGGCTAAAACCAACCTAGTCTCAAAATAACCATTAAAGGGAAAGAAATCTAAACAGCAGCTGTCTGTGGCCCTGACCTCACAGCAGCTCACTGCACCGAGGGTGCAAGCAGGTAAAGGCATTTTAATATTATCCTGAGGAGGCACACAGGATGGACAGATATGAGACAAAGAGGTGCCTCTGAAGTCTATGTGGGCCCATTGCCACTCATGCACACACGGCCTTGTAGGTGTCATGCGCCGTCAGTTTCTGTGACTTCTCAGGGGTCCCCAACTGCTCCCCACCTGCTCACACTTGAAGTAGCAGATGGTAAAGTCATCAAGGACAAAGAAGCGCCGCTTCCAGCTCTTGCGCTGAAATGAAAAATGAAGAGCTGAGTGTTAAGGGCAGGTCTCCAGCCAGTGCCAGAGGCAGAATTGTGATGCCAAACTAAGACCCAGCAGCATGAAAGCCAGGCTTCTAGGATCAGCAGGGACAAAGACACCCTTACACCAAGGGCAAGCTCCCTGACGTGTGGCTGAGTCCCGCCGGTGGCCAGCATGAAGTACTCCAGCTCTTCTCTCATTCTCCTCTCTCCTCTACTACATCTATGCCCACAGGTTCCGGGGAGCCACCAGAACCCAGGCTGGCCCCTGTGCTGGCACTCACCACGTTCCCTTGCTTCACACAGTAGCCGCTCTTAATGAGGGGAGGCCCGGTGGAAGCACGGCAGCCTGATGTGGGGATGTAGCTCTGAGACCTTCGCAGGATGGCATGGGACCCTGGCTCGCTCCCTTCGTGCCCGTCCCCACCATTCTACAAGGAAACAGTGTTGAGGTTAACACCTTGCCTGCTCCTCTGCAGCCACCAGCCCTCCCACCAGATCTCTGGCCCCTTCAATATTATGTCATTCAAAGAAATAAGCATTGGCTTTACTGCTGGTTGGGCACTCTACTGAGTGCTTTCACAAAGCAAGACAGGCACTGGGAAGACCCGGAGGGGAGGACAGACAACACACAGCAGAGCTGGGAAGGCCCAGAGCGGGGAGGACAGACAACACACAGCAGAGCTGGGAAGACCAGGATGGGGGGACAGACAACACACAGCAGAGCTGGGAAGACCAGGAGTGGGAGACAGACAGCACACAGCAGAGCTGGGAAGACCAGAAGGGGGGAGGACAGACAACACACAGCAGAGCTCGGAAGACGAGGAGGACAGACAGCACACAGCAGAGCTGGGAAGACCAGGAGAGGGGGACAGACAACACACAGCAGAGCTGGGAAGACCAGGAGGGGGACAGACAACACACAGCAGAGCTGGGAAGACCAGGAGGGGGACAGACAACACACAGCAGAGCAGCACACGATGGGAAGAGAGACTGCAGGCTTAGGTGTGGTCTCATTACCTGTCTCAGCCCCACTTTCTGAGTTTTAAAGGCGCCCACTGCCTGGGTCTTGAGCACACAGAGCTTCAAGGTGCCGTGGCTCAGTGGCTGTACTCCCACGCCCACACCCGCCCAGATCACCCCTCTCCGCTAGCACCCCTGGCCCATGACTTGTCCTTGGGCACAGTGGATACGTCTGTACCCTCACTACCTCCAGTGGCCCCAGCCGGCCCAGCACCTGGCTGATGGGTGTGTGTACCACTACCCCTCCAACGATCTCAGTTTTGTAGGCCACCTGTGGCTTCTTCTCAAAGGCAGGAGGAGCTGCTAGGCTTTTGAGAACTTCGGTGGTCAGGGGTAGAGTCCCAGCCTTAGGCACCTAGGAAGAATGGCCAAACGGTCAACAGAGGAGAGAAAAAGAGGTTTAGAAGAGAGGAGAGCCTTGAGCTTTCGGGCAGAAAGAAAAGCTAATTACCAGACTATGGTAAGAAGACTCTCCTCCCCTCCCCAGCTCTTCCACAGTTCTCCATAGCCAAATATGAGGAACTCAGCCTGGCACCTTTCTCTCTCGCTCTCGCTCTTTCTCTATCTCTCTCTCGCTCTCACTTTCATTCTCGCTCTCTCTCTCAGCAAACTTACTTATACTATGAGCTAACCCTGGCTAGAAAGCAAAGAGCAAACATCAAACAAAACAGACATGAGTCAAGCCCCCCCACTGATATGCTAGTTAAAACTGACCAAAAATTGTGCAAGGACTCAGAATATTTATAGATAGTCTTGAGAGCCACAGAGAAGTAAGGGGGCAGCAGGGAGCCTATGGGAAACAGCATGGTCAGGGGAGGCCTCCAAAAGACAAGCTAAAGTTGCAGCGTTGGGGGCAAAAAGGAACCAGGAATGTAGAGATGGTACGAAGCCCACTAGGCCAGTGGGACAGGAAAATATGCATGCAAGAAGTCTGGGGGTGTGCTTGGTGCTGGCAGATTGCTGGTCTCCCTTGTGTAAGGTCTGGAGTTCCCTCACTAGCACCTGAGAGAAAGCACACGAATGCTTACGACACAGGTTGAGCCAGCTGAATGTACAAACCCTGCCTGCCCTTGGGTGGGGCAATAAGACAGAGACACTAAAAGCATGACACAGAATTACCACTGGGCTACATGTATAAAGCACATAAATAGTAGTGAATTTTATGTTCAGATTTGGGTTCCATCCCCAAGTTTTCTCAATGCTCACAAATATTTCAAATATTACAAAATCTGAAAAATCCTGAACTCTGAAACGCTTCTGGTCTCCAGCATTCAGATAAGGCAAGTCTGTGTATGGGACGGAATAAGGGGTGCGTGAGCAATGGAGCCAGAGCTCCTGTGATACAGCTCTTGGTCTCTCACCAACCACCAGATGCCCTGCAGCAGACCCCTGGATCTATGTAGATCTGCACCATCCACATCAGTTTTCTACCCACCACTGTGGCAAACCTGAGACTATCTGCTTAGCAAGGGGAAAGTTCATTCTGGTTATGGTTCCAGAGACTTCAGTCCATGGCTATTTGATACAGTACATGGTGACACAGTACATCATGGCAAAGGGAGCCTGTTCACCTGATGGCATCCAGGAAGCAGAGAGAGACAGGGAGGGGCCAGGACCAGTTCTGCCATCCTTCCACTAGGCTCTACTGCTTCAAGGCTTCACCACTTCCCAACAGCACCTTGGCTGGGACCAAGCCTTCATTCAATACACAGGCCTCTGGGGGACATTCAAGACCCAAACTATCACATTATCTCATATGTGAAATAGAAAGGGGTAAAATATTTACATCATAAGAGTTGTGGTTGTCAGGTGATAGCACACATACATGTAAACTCTCTAGAAATACAAATAAGGATATGCATTATGAAATCTTTTTAATTAACATTCACAAATGGTACTGCTGTCTTCATGCAGAGCCCTCTGTGAATGGCCGTCTTTATCCCTCTTTGACAGCTGCAGCACTACAGCTAAACAAATCATCACACAGTGTTTACAGTCAGCAGAAACCTGTGCCTGAAGTCTCACCCTGGTGGCCCAGACAGACGCCGCCCAAACTGCTTTCTCTGTCCTATGCAGTGTGTTTTTTCTTTCTCTTTTTTTTTTTGATTTATTTACTTTTATTTTATGTGCATGAGTGTTATGCTTGCATGTATGTAAGTGCACCCCTGTCTTGCAGTTCCTGTGGAGGTCAGAAGAGGGTGTTTGATCCTTGGAACTAGAGTTACATATGGTTGTGAGCTACCATGTGGGTGCTGGGATTCGAACCCCATTCTTCTGCAAGAAAGTGCTCTTAACCACTGAGTTAACTCTGGTTCCATGCAGTGTATTTTTCAATGAACATTTAAAATATCACATAAAAATCCAGATTTTCAGCTAAGCAGCTGTCCCCTTTGTTAGGTAGAAAATGCATCCTTCAGTTTGCCACATTCTCTCCATATCCTCATTTTGTCATCACATCTTATCTGCCTAAAGCCACAATCACACCTGAACAGGAACTAGGCTTCCCTGCCAGTTCACAGGACACAACAGTCGGCACGCATCTCCCAGGAAAGGATCTACAGCTCTCACGAGAAAAGCGAAAGTCTTCCTCCACTTCTTCTACAGTCTGTGGAGTCAGAGTGACCTCGAGGTCCAGACCCTCAAGTGAGGACACCCATAATCACATCACCCAAGTCTACGGCAGACTAGCCTGCGCTATGTAGCAAGATCCTGTTTTTAAAAAACTCTCTGCCAAGGACAGAGAACAACTTCACTACTGGGTGCCCATCCCTATGTGTGACGGGTGAAGACTCCTGTGCTTCCCTAAGTTCTAAGCTCCCCAGAAGGAAGGTAAAGCCTGCTCACTCACTCTGAGGGGGAGAGAGAGGGAGAGGGAGAGAGAGAGGAAGAGAGAGAGAGAGAGAGAGAACCGGTGTGTGTGTGTGTGTGTGTGTACAAGAGAGGAAGAGGGAGGGAGGGAACACTGGTGTGTGTCTGTGTGCATTAGAGAGGGAGAGAAAGAGAGAGAGAAACTGGTGTGTGTCCATGTCCTGCTCACTCTGTGTGTGTGTGTGTGTGAGAGAGAGAGAGAGAGAGAGAGAGAGAGAGAGAGAGAGAGAGAGAACTGGGGTGTGTGTATGTATATGTGTGAGAGAGAGAGCACACTAGTGTGTGTGTCCGTGTCCTGCTCACTCGCTCTGTGTGTGTGTGTGTGTGAGAGAGAGAGAGAGAGAGAGAGAGAGAACTGGTATGTGTGTCTGTGTGTATCCATGTCCTGCTCACTCACTCTGTGTGTGAGAGAGAGAGACAGAGACAGAGAGGGAGAGCACACTGGTGTGTGTATCCGTGTCCTGCTCACTCTGTGTTTGTGTGTGAGAGAGAGACAGAGAGAGAGAAAGAGAGAGAGAGAGAGAGGGAACTGGTGTGTGTCCATGTCCTGCTCATTCACTGTGTGTGTGTGAGAGAGAGACAGAGAGAGAGACAGAGAGAGAGAGTGTGCACTGGGGTGTGTGTATGTATATGTGAGAGAGGGAGAGCACACTGATGTGTCCATGTCCTCCTCACTCACTTTGTGTGTGTGTGTGTGTGTGTGTGTGTGTGTACAAAACCACCACCTCTCCAAATCAAGCCAGAAATTTACCCCTTCTCCCTCCCTTCTGGTGGCCTGAGATACAGCAGTCCCCATGTCTTGGGCTCCACCCAGTGCCAGGTAGAGTGCTTAGCTCTTTGCTACATCCTCTTAGTGAGGACAACTGATGTTCTCCATTTTATACGTGAGGTAAACTTAGCTCATTTAGTTGAGTACTTTGCTCCTAGGATGCCTAGCTGCCCTTTCTGTCACCACCTACACAAGCCACCCTTTTTAATGTTCTGGGAGTTTCTGAGGTAGCACCCTATACACAGAGCATAGAGGCAGCACACAAGGTGTGAGGCAGCAAGCCCTCCCTCCACCCACCTTGCCTCCCCGTCTCTTTTCAGTGGTTTACCAAGGTTTATTAGAATAAGAAACTAACGCGTAGATGGCTCATAGCCTCCATGTGGGTGGCGGGAATCGAACCCAGGTCCTCTGCAAGAGCAGTCAGTGCTCTCAACCACTGAGCCCTCTCTCCAGCCCCTGGCTCTGCTTCTTGACAGTCTCCCATACCATCCACATGTCCCCACCATGATGTCCTGCCTCAACACAGGCCGAAAGCATCAGGGACCAGGCCGCATGAACTAAGACAGAAACCATGGGCCACAATTAAGCCTTCCATCTTCCAAGCGGATTATTTCAGTGTGTTGTCACAGTGGTGGAGAGCTGCAATTCCCCTTCCTCCTTCTTACCCTTCTCCTTTCCTTTGTTATATTTCTAAGGAAGAGGAAATCAGTTCCTCATCAGCCAAGCCCAAGAAAATGAGCATACTCAGCACAGTCCTTGAACATGGTCCTTTAAAGTTAGCAAAGCTTTACAATAGAGGACTTCCAGATTAGACAAAGAAGAGCACCCTCTAAGCCAGGAGGGGCTCTAACTTCCTCTCACATGCTCTCCCCAACTCTCCTTCTCATGGGCAGCAATCTGTTCTCCAGTCGTACCACACCCTGAATCAGCATCCCAAAGTTACCAGAAATGACTGGCGAGCCCTCCCAGGAAGCACAAAGGGGACACTCCATAAACTTCCCCTTGAACTTGATCCAAACTCAAACTCTCTGGCTAACTTGTGGTTGTCAGCCAAAGGACAAGAGGAGGTCAGAGAGAAACAGGTCTGCACCGGCCTTCGAGGTGACCCCACCCCACTGGGGCCATAAGCTGGGATGGGGCACTCTGACTACAGAAAGAACACAAAGTATACGTACAGTGATCTTGCTGGCTTGGTTCAGGGCTTCAACCCAATCCTTCAGATCTTTCTGGTCATTGGCTTGAAGAAAATATCTCTGAGACAGGGCATTGATAACTGTAAAAGTCACAGGGAGAGAGAGAGAAGCACTGGGTCAGAATTCACACAGCACCAGAGTCCAGGAAGCTGAAGGCCTGAGGTAACATGAAGCCCACCAGCAGATCAGAAGTTCCCCATGACATTAAGTCACTTGCACACTTCAGAAGCCGCAGATCACAGCCCCTCATACTTTCTCCGGATGGCCACCAGAGAGACACTAAACATTAACGGCAGCCTTGATGTGCTGTTCTGTGGTGGCAAGATTGCTCAAAGCAGTCTACAGTCCTGTCACGCTTAGTTTGGGGCCTGGTGCTTGTTTTCACCAGCACATCTGATCTGGGAGTCTCAGTTGTGCCTGGGAAATGGGGTAGAGCTTGCCTGGGATCAGGTCTGTGACCTTGGCCTCATTTTCAACCTGTTCTTCCATCTGAGCATTCCATTAGTCATTCACTCAATTCTGCGTTGTTCATTACTATTCACATTTAGATCGGTTGACTACAAAACCTAAGAGTTATTTCTGAGGTTAGCAATGACATTTAGAAGAAACAGGAAAAAGAGCCAGTCTGAAGGGTGGGTACGGGGCTGCTTCATCCCTCTAGCACAAGCCTGAACTCAGGAAGAGACATCCGTGAGGAGACAAAGAATTCTTGGGTCCATTCATTTGTATGACAAACTCTTATCCAGGACCCGCTACTTGCCGGCCATTCTGTATGCCTAGGACATAGCGACAAAGCAGGAAGTGGCTCAGCCTTCCTGAGGCTGACATTCAGAACCACCCTGCAATCAGAAACTCCTCTCGGCATGTGTACAGTGCTGGGAACACAGTGGAGGCCCGTTACCAACCCAGTGACTGCATCAGATTTACCAACATGAGAGTGACTTGAAGAGTGGATAGAGCGGCTCTGCTTCTGCGCCCCCAACACACACTGCAGCTCACTATCAGCCCTGAGACCCTTAATAGAAACTTCTTCCTTCCTTCCTTCCTTTTAATGCTTTCCTGGCCCTGTCTCCCCGTCTCCTGGCCCTGTCTCCCCGTCTTCTGAGCATATCATTATTCAGCTCTAAAGTGCAGACTTCAGAAACTCCTACTAGATGTTTTTACCCACCACCATTATAGGCTCAAGAAAACTGAAATATACCTAGGATTGTTAGCACATGCCTGTAATCCCGCACTTGGGAGGCTGAGGCAGGAGAAGCAGAAGTTCCAGGACAGCCTGAGCTATAGATTGAGATTCTGTCTAAAACAAAAACAAAAGGAGAGAAGAAAAAGAAAAGAAAGAAAGGAGAAAGGAAGAGGGGGGCAAGGACAGGAAAGAGCAGGCGGCAGGAGCAGGCGGCAGACGGCAGACCGCAGACAGGCTGAAATGCTACTGGTCGCTCTATACCTGCCCTCATGTTATTAACAGTTTTTGCAGAAACACCAGGAAAGTGGCCTTACTTGGCACCCAAACATCAGTGTGACTGAAGCCAGTCATGCACACAGGGAACAGTGCGTATGAAACCACAGGGCAGTCTTCATGCAAAAGACGTTGCCACAAAACTGAAGAAAGCCTACCTTGGCTCAGTACTTACCGAAACAGAATGGAGTTCTGGGTTTCTGCTTTGGGTTAGCTATGCTCACCTACATCAAATAAAGACAAGAGACACAAATGTGTTTCTACCAGCAAAGAAAAACATTTACTTTGAAATATTTCATATGCAAAAAGAATATATCCAGCATATGTATATTTTGAAGCCCAGTAACTGAAAGCCTTGCCCCATTACCTTAAGCGATTAGCATTATCAAACTCTCAGTGTCCCTCCCTGACAGACTCTCTACCACCCATAGATAATATCTTGACAGCTGTGTTAATTTTTGTCTTTGCAAAAAACACTTTAAAAAGCCACTGTGTCCTGACAAGATTCTCTTTGTCCCACAACTTCCACCAACCTGGAGAGGGGCTGATGGGATGAGCGAGCCCACCTGGGTATAACCAAGGGCAGGGCCTACGGAAGTAGAAATGCTGTGGTGGTTCCTGCTTCCACATTTCAGTTAGCTTTCACCATCTTACTCCTTACATGGGCATTGCTGAATGTCTGCACAGGAGCCCGCATCACAGGCTTGTGTTCCATTACAGCCTAAAAAGACTCTGGGATCATGCTGCATCCTGGTTCAGCATTGCTGGGGTGTGCCTTTCATGAGATCTGTGGTCCTTATCCTTCCCTGCACACTATTCTTAGTCCCCTTTCTGGCCAAAGTATTTTTTTTCTTGAGACAAGGCATCACTGTGTAGCCTGAGAACTCACTGTGTAGACCAGGCTGACCTTGAATGCACAGATATCCCCCTGCCTTTGCCTCCTGAACACTGGAATCAAGGTGTTTGCCACCACGCTGGAACATTTGTCTCCCTGTTCCCATCTCAGGGTTCTACAAGTGGGTATTAGAAGGTAGGACCTAAAGAAAAGTCTTAATTTGAAACATGTCTTTTTGTGGCTCATAGTTGCTAAGGTCTAACAATGACTGACCCATCTGTCTCTCTAGGCTCTTGACCCTAATGTCTTCTCAGGGCCATGTCCTGATTCATTAGCCAAAATTAATATTGCCCCAAATACACAAATAAGAACTGAGGTGGCTCCTAGGAAACACTGAAGACAAGCAGCAAAAGCCGGCTTTGGAATCAGCCTCAAACCACAGGAGTCCCAGCTGCATGGCCTCCATTACATATTCCATCAAGTAAGAGATGTAAACCATCCTCCTACGGAGTGAACATAAGACTTCAATATAACAGTGCAGACAAGGGACCTGGCCTCCATGCCATATAAAATCTGCTCATCAAGGGGGACTACTATGCCAGGCAGGCCAGCACACATCCATAATCCTAGCACTTGGGAGGCCGAGACAAAAGGATCTCAACTTTAAGGCCATCCTAGACAAAGAAAGAAAATTCCGGCCAGTCCGAGATACATAGGTAGACCTTGTCTCAAACACACATACAGAGAGAGAGGGAGAGGGAGAGGGAGGGAGAGAGAGAGGGAGAGAGAGAGAGAGAGAATATAGGACCTTTAAAAATGACTGGCTTCCAACATACAAAATACACATGACATATCCAACATAATAAATATTTAATTAAATGTCTACATAGTTCTGGAAGTGTAAGGATGAAGGGCTGCATCTGCTGCTGACTTCCTACTAGCAGAGTCCCAAGGCAGCACAGGGGTCAGCAGGGGGGGGCCAGAGAGTATGCAGTGTACACCCAAACTACTGTATGCATGAAGGAACTCTGAGATGAAGGGAGCCCATGCAGACTAAGAAAGCTCTGAAAGGCATGAAGGGACCCCGCAATATGACTTCAGACAGACTACCCAAAGTTAGCCATGTCTGCACACCTCACAGGTAGCACTCGTCGGCAGTCCTGGTCCCATACACCTTACATTCCTGGAGTTTGGCCCAAGACAGCGGACACCTTCCACTGTGATGTGCTGATCTGTACCGTCTGATTCTGCATGGATTCCAAATGATCATACTCACTGCTCTTATTAACCAATATATGCTAGCACTACCCATGGGATTATCACGGGAACCAAAGCTTCCAAAGACTGTGTGTGGCCGTTTACTCATTTGTTTTTCTCTATTTATGCATGTTCCAGTCAGGTGTGCATGCGAGCACACCACACACGTGTTTACAGTGTGCATGGAGCCCAGTGGCTTACTTAACATGGAAGTGTTATCAGGCAAAGTAATTCATTGCCAAACTAATGGGATCAATCTTACTTCTGTCCTGATTGGCTATGGGGCCGGGACTGAGCTCCACCAAAGAGTATCTTCATCAGTGAAGCCACAGCAGGAAGTTAGTCATCTTCTCACCATCACAGAGCAGCAAGAGAAGGGAATGAAATTTGTATGCCTGTCACTGTGCCTCACAGTGAAGGGACACAGTTCCTACCGCAGAGCTCTGGCCTTGGCCTCTCTTCCTAACACCCTGCCCTCTCCCCACCCACAGCCTGTGGGTGATGTGCCCAGCTGCAGCAGCCATCTTCAAACATGGGGAAAGAACAGAGGACCCACAGGAAGCAGTGTGGCCACAGGTAGGTGAGGACACCCGACTGTCTGACTCAAGCGAGGGCACCAGGCACAAACATCCTCACACTGCAGGGTGGCCACAGCTGAGTCACTGACCCAAAGCGGCTGACTGGCAGGTCCTGTGAGCATATCAACAGTGAGAGAAGGTTAGGATATGAAAAAGAGAGTGGGCATGGGTCCCCCATGGAGTGACGCAAAAGAACCACTCCGCAGCTCAATAGTCTCAGGAACTTGCACTTATCAGATCCACACAGACCACAGAGGCAGTGGGTAAGTCATCAGCAGCAGGACACTGTGAAGACCAACCCCCCCCCCCCACCCCACCCCTGTCTGCCTTGGCGGGAAGTGGAGCTGAGGCCTCTCTGGCAGAAGGAGCAGGAGACCAACAAACCCTGAGAGTGCTCCATCCTAGGCCCCATCCTAGGGGAACTTGCCACTCAAGAGGCACCCAGCCCTTGAGTAATCAGTAACTGACAGAGTGATCTGATCAAAGGCTTTCAAGTAGGTACATAAGTAAGCACTGAACTCTCAAAAGGATCCATGCCCCCACCCCCGAAGAAACAGTTCATAACAGATGTTTTAGTAAGGTCTTCCTGACAGGTAACAGAGACCAAACCCTCATGAAATGGGTCATGGCTGGAATGGAAGAAGGGCCATCAGGCAAAGGGTACCGAAGGCCAGCTTCAGTTTCCAGTTTGACCATTGGTTCTGCTGTCACAATGGCCTGGGGACAGAGCAGGCCTTTTCACCTCGGGTTTGCCTCTCTGAGGGACCCTGTGCCAGTCCCATCTTCCCCATCTGCCTCCCAGAGATTCCTATGAAAAGCACCCTTAAACCTAGAGGCAAAGCAAGCCATGCCATCTGACACGGAACAAAAACCAAGGAGGAAACCTGGGACCCAGCGCTAGTACCTGCCTCTGTGTTCTGGGAAAAGCCTGTGTCCTGGCACTGGGTCAACAGGAGCTGATCTCTCAGCAATACATAACCTGACCCACTGACAGTTAATGGGTTTGCAAAATGCCAGCATGGGGTGCCTGTCTGGTAGGGCAAAATGTCAGGTCATCCTTTCTAAGTGAGGCAGCCAACGAGGCAGGACACTAGAAGCCTCATCTGGCTGCATTTCTAAATCATGATTCAGCCCATTTTATTCACTCCTCCCTCACCAAAAAGTCTCCAAAGCCTCACATGGGAGAGCGTTTCAATTTTCACTTTTACAGGGTTCTCTGCCCACCTCTCTTGATTCTCTTTCTGGAGAAATGAACTAATGAGTCCACGGCAGCAGAGGACCAGAGAGGGAAGTAGGCCCCTCTGGGCTGGGCCAGACTGCGCTAAGGAGGCAGCCACAGCTCTTACCACCAGGCACGCACCAAGTGTGCAGCTGTGCTAGGAAGCTGGGCGTTAACCACTCCTCCCCTGAGCCATTATCTCCTCTCTGAACACTCAGCCACTGCCCAGCACCTACCGCCTCTGCACATGCATCTGCCTGGCTCTGCCGGCTGGCAGCCCTGCCCCCTCACTCCTCCACGGCCCCCTCTCTGGACCCCTCTTCTCAAGCAGCTTTGATGGGGATTTTCACACGTCTCACTACATCTGTTACTAGATGCAGCTGGTCAGTGGCTACTCCGCTCAGGCCCCTGCCCCTGGGTCCTCAAGGCCCTGAGGGTAGAGAGGCCAAGCAGCAGCAGCCCCCACCCCAGCCCCTCGGAAGGCCTGAGGGGAGGGGCTTCTGCAGCCTGGAGCTGGCTGGGGGCCACCTGGCTCTCCTTTGCAAAAGAGTTTCTTTCTGCAAAGAGGCTCTAAATCCCTGGGCCTTTTTATCACGACTACATCAAAGGTCAGCAACATCAAGGGTCACCGACTGTGCCTGCCCCAGAGGAGCTGCCAAAAGCAGCTGAATTCAGCAGTTACATGTGGGCATCATTGGCCAGCCCCTCCCCAGGACTCAGGAGGAGAACAGGGGGTGCTCATGCCCCTCTGTACAAGCTGGACGGGGGCATGGCCTGTCAGTTGACTGCAATGCTCCCTAGCAGATACCCAACCACTAAATGTGGTCCTGAAATATCTCAGGGCCCGCTGGGATGCTCTCAGCCCTCCCTCGACGAGCATCCGGTCAGGAAAACTGGCAAAATCCCAGTGGGGGTCCTAGTCCTTTCAGAACTGCTGCAGGCTAACCACACACTTTGAGGGGCTCATTTCTTTGTGTTCTCTTTGTTCAGTTACAAAAAAAAAGGTTACATTCTCCAACCTCTGACTCAGTCAGGAATATATTTTGGATCTGAAACATATTCAAAAGGCCATGCAAAAGCTAGAACTTTTAAGAAGTGGGACCCAGTGAGAGTGATTAGGGGGTACCCTCAGAAGAGATCATGGGTCCCCACTCTCCCTGTAACTTGCCTCCTGAGCCCCGAGTTAAGAAGTTGTACACTGCTCTTGCCATGATATGTTCCTCACATGGGCCCAGCAATGAGTAGACCTCGAAAACTGGGAGGTCTCTTTACATCTCATCTCAAATATTCATTATAGGTCCGGAAATATGAGTAGCTGAAGTAGCCAAAGAGGGCCACCCTCCAGGAACCTGTCACCCACCACCACTCCTACTAGACAGTGGCAAATCTTCCACGGGCAATGCCTGGGAAACGGGAACATCATAATTACCTTGAAGCTCCCACAGGCTCACAGACTCCCTTCACCTTTAGATATTAAACCTATTTTGAGAATATGGTTTCCCAGAGCACCAGGCTAACAGTACCTTCGAGATGTAAGTCAGCTGCAAAGATCCAACAGCTCCTGCCCCAACCGCCAGGTTCTGAAAGACAGAATTGTTTACTTTAAGAGGATGCTATGTGAGGCCATGAAAACAGCAGTGAGAGACAGAAGACCCATATTCTAGTTCAGTCTGTCACTGAACGAGTCTTAATTCACCTCCTTACCTGGTGACAATTTCTGGATAATAATCCCAGGTGGCAATAATTCAGATTTTTCTGGCAGAAAACAGTAACATTAATAATATCCATCACCTTCTTAGGGTGAGTTATTCTAGAACAGTTGGTTAGAAGTGTATGCCACCATTTGACGGTGAAGTCTCTTAACCACTAAATCTCTGTTTCCACCTCTGTAAAACAGGACAGTTCGAACTTCCCTTATCCAAACCAAAATGCTTGAGATTTCAATTTCTTTTTCCTTTTATTTTGAAGGGAGGGTGTTGTTTTTGACACAGGGCACCTAGCCCAGGCTAGCCTCCAACTCCGCATGTATAGAGGAGTGCCTAGACCCTCCTGCTTCTACCTGCGTGCTGGGATTACAGGTATGTGTCACCAGAGCTGGGCAGATTTTTTTTTTTTTTTTTTCGTTTTGAGACAGGGTCTCCCTGTAGCCCCAGCTGGCCTGGAAGTCACTATGTAGACCAGGCTGGCCTTGAACTCACAGCGCTCCGCCTACTTTACGTATAAAATGAGAAGTCTGAGGACTGGAACCAAAGTCTAAACAGGGATTTTCCTTTCTGCTTCATACACACAGTATACAGATTTCTTAAGGGTAATTTTGTATAATGATTTAAGGTCCCTTATGTTCTGACTGCAACCCACCAGATGAAAATAGGAGTAGAATTTGCCATTGTTGCTATCATGTCATTCAGTAAGTTTCAGATTTTCAATTTTCAGATCAGGGCCCCACTTGCAGTACTCCCCACTTCAGACAGCAGTGAGGTTGAGCCAGCTCAGGGAAAAGCACAGGGAGCATCCCTGGCACACGGGAGGCACACTTTCACACCCCGGTGTTGATCCCCGAGTCTCTGGCCTTGTTCCCTGGCTGCTCAGGCCTTTCGGCATGCCCTCTCTGGGTTGGGACATGTCTGCCTGTGCACCACTGTGGCAGCAAGCTGTCACCATTAGACTTTTAGGTCCATTAATTGCAGTGGACACTGAGTCACTTTGGGTGAGACCTCAGGACTGCCAGGGCTGTTTGCCTCAGTGTTCTCCACTTCCCCGGGGGGGGGGGGGGCAGGAAGGGGAGGCAAACAACTTTTCAGACATTTGTCATATTGCCCTTGCTTCTTGGGATGGAGAGGAGGGTATGTATCCCTCCCAGAAGCAGAATGTAGATGGAGTATGCACAAGATCCCCTCCTCCTCTCTGAGGTCAGCCCCCTCCCCTCACTGCACATCCTTCTGAGTGGGAGGAGACTGAGGAGGTGGGAGAGCAGAGGCCACAGTCTGAGGAATGAGGTCCTTGAAATCTGATCTGCCCCTGGCATTGCGTGTGGCTTAGTCACCCCATCCACTTCACTCATAATTCAAGATGGGGCTCCAGAGGTTTCTGAGCTGTGGTTTGGGGTGAGGAGAGTAACTACACAAGAGTAGCCCTGGGTCCTGGCATCTGCATCATGTAATTAGCCCTATGATGTGCTCTCCCTATGAGTTTTCATGTAAACATGTCTCATGTGTCTCAGCCACCCTCTGACATAGCTTATTACTTCCATTTTATAAGAAGAAACTTGTCTCCAGTCATAGTGCTGATATTGGAGTTAGATGCAGTAGCTCAAGCTTTTGAAATCACCCTGTGTTGCTCCCAAGCCAAGGGACCCAAAAGCCTTTGGCTCTGTGTGTTCCTGGAGCCTTGTCCACAATAAGGCCATGCAGACACAGGCTTCTGGCATCCAGCAGAGCTTGACTTTGCCCAGAGCGGTTCATGTCCTTTGGGGCTACATCTGTCACTCCTAATCTGGGGAGAACTATGGCTCCTTTCTGGACTTTGACTTGGTAATAACAAGGCCTGTCTTTAACACAATTGAGGTTTTGTTAAAATTAAAGTCATTTTAAAGTTAAAAATGCATAAATAAAATAAACACTAATTTGGGTATTTAAGAGTAGTATGCATGTACTCTTGCGGAGCTGGGGGATACAGAATGGGGCCTCACCTGTTGGAACAGTGCCCCACCACTGACCTCTACCCTAGCCCCTTGAAGGCATTTTTTGGACTCAGTGCTTCATTTGCCGAAGGGAGGAACGGCGGACAGAGTCTTGTCCACGTCCTTCACTGGGTGAGACTCAAGGGTTCTGAAAATCCTTAAATCATTGTGGTATCCTTATGCATTTTCTTGTAAATGGAAATTTCACATGTTGAATTTACTTCAACAATGTCAATTTAGGTAACGGGCTAGAAGGCTCTACTCAAGCCTCAAACCTTTCCAGGTAAATTCACTAAACGTCCCTGTCAATGATTCTCCTTTTGCTGCTCTGATGTAAGCCGAGGTAGTGGGGTTGCCTCTTTCCTTGAGGATAACAGTTTTAGAGCTGCAGGAAGACTCTCTGTCTGTAGAGGTGGTTCTCAGACAGATCCTGGACACCAGAACCCCTGGGGAACTCAACTGCAAAAGCTCCACCCTCTAAATCAAGCGACCACGATAAGCACTCCCAGTGATCCCTAAATGGACCCAAGTTTAAGAACAGCTGGTCAACAGGACAAGCGTATTGAGGACATGATAGCAAGATCAAAGCATCTCAAGGTGCTGATGTCTGTAGCCCAGAGCTTGAGAGGCAGAGGCAGAGGCAGGAGGACAAAGAGCTCCAAGCCAGGCTGAACACTGCATAGCAAGACGGTCCCCCAAAAGAGCAGTCCGACACTTGAGCATCTGAGAGGTGGCCTGCCGGCAGGGGAGGTTAATAAAAAAGTACTCTCTTTGTCTTTCCTATTGTTTGGCTCCTGGAGCTTGAACCCAGCTCCTTCATGCATGCCCAGGACATAATCTAACAGTGAACTAGAAGCAGAAAAGCCTTCCCCCCTTTTAAATGAGGAAGATACTTCTAAAAGGTGCTTTATAGTCAGGCATGGTGGTGCACACCTTTAATCCCAGCACTGGGGAGGCAAAGGCAGGCAGGTCTCTGTGAGATTGAGCTAGCCTGGTCTCCATAATGAGTTCCAGGCCAGCTGGGGCTATGGCACATGTACAGAAGTGTAGAGTGCAGCATGGCTATTCAACACAGGCGGACGATGCCTGACGGTCAGACCAGGTGACTGGTCTGCGCATCTTCAAAGCCAGTCCCCAGTTCTCGGTGAAAGAAGCATTCCAGATCTCTCTATGGGCTATTCTGAACACACAGCTAGCTCCCACGGTCACCTGGTATGCTGCAGAACCTCAGGGCTTTTCTTTTTTTGAAATGAGGTCTCACTGTGTTGCTCAGGCTTGTTGTGCGGTGATTAATTTTATTACTCTTATTTATCTGTTGTGTGTGTACGTGTGTGTCATGGTGCATGTGTGGAGGTCAGAGGACAGTTTGTCAGATTTGGTTCTCTCCTTTCACCACACAGGTGCCAGGGATGGAACTTAGGTTTTCAGGCTCGGTGGCACATGCTTTTACCCATTGTGCCATCTTGCCAGCTCTTATGGGGTGATTTGAAACCAACAATTACCATGGTTCCTTCCTGCAGCTTTAAGTGATCCGAGATAGAGCCCAAGCAGCTCTGTGTTCTCGGGGTTCCTCAAGCATCCACTGAGCTGCTGGGCTGGAGGCACCATGCTGGGGAAACTGGCTACCAGTGCTGACTAGGAGTCATGGGAGCTGGGGAAAGGAAAGGCCACATCTGGCTAGCAGCCCTCACAGCAGAACGGCAGGGCTGTAGTCTTCAGGGAGGAAGATGGGAAGGGGAGGCAGGGACAGGGACCCCCAGCACTGCCCAGCATGGCTGGCAGCCACCCTGCATGAGGTTCATCAGTCAATAGTGGCCTATACATTTCTTGGACTTCTGAATTTTCTGGAACAATACAGGACACAGGGCAGGCTTCTGTGAACTGACCAAGGACTTTAAGAAGACATTGCCAATACCTTGCACATTGCTCAAGAGCTCTTCTGCTAGCAAGAACCTCAAAAGATTGGGAAGTATGTGGTTTATTCTCTTTCATCACCAAGGAAGGAGCTGAGCTGTCCACAGAGACTGGTGTTTCTACAATAAGCATTTTGTAGAAACAGCAGCACTTCTTGTTGAAGTAGAAAATTTTACCCATGTGACCTGTACTTCTCCCATTTCTGACAACAGTAACAAAGAGCAGAGAGGTGACCAGAAGACCCAGTCACACATTCATAAACGAATAGGCTGTTTGCCCTGCATGATAGCCCTTCATCTCCCATGACTCTCCAGGATTCAACTCAGGAAGTGGCAGCCCAGGGAAGACCAAGCTGGTCACCTCAACTACAGTCTGGCCCAGAGCAGCATGGGAAATAAGGAAAGCAGACACACAGTAAGAGACTGCTGTGCCACATGCTGCTAGGCAGTTTCACCAGCTGTCACTTAACCCCCACGATCTCATCTCACAGATAAAGAAGCTGGCGATCTAGCAGGTGAGGCAGCTGGCCCAAGATCAGGCAAGTGGAAAGAGTGAGGCCAGTGTTCAAGCCCAGCTTTTCCGGAGGCCCAGATCCCTCGTGGGACGCTCCTTCGTGCTAGGCCACCTCCTCTGAGACATCGTCTAAGAGTTGGTTATCAATGAGAGGCAAATACAAGAGCAGGACTGACAGGGCCGCACTGAGCAGTCCTATATAGTTACCCAAGCTGGGCTGGGCATGGCAGGAACTAGTCCAACTGGCTCTGGGGTGCCAAGCTCCAAAAGACCAGGGGTTGAGAGGGTGGGAGGGAGAAGGCAGGGAAGACACTGGTACCTCCTTACCTGCTCTTACATCTCCTGGGGTGGGCAGCTGACAGCAGGGAGCCCAGTGAGCGTCAGCAGAGCTGCAGAGACGGGGAGGAGAAAGGAGGACACCAAGCGACATTCTCACTGCCAGTGCATGAGCCCACACGACTGCTCGTGAGCTAC